AGCAAGGTCTGTTCGTGGTCAAAGAACTCAAGTTATCATCTGAGTCGGCTTCCAGGTATTTTTCGGGATTGAGTTCTTGATGTAAATTAATGCGATTAATTTATTCGTGCATAAATTAATATAATCTATAGAGTATCTCAAAAGTTTTATGAAAATTTTTGTTATACACGATCCGCCCTTCCGCCACGCTTCCGCAGCCGAATTCGATTCGGCAACCAACAATACAGCCTATCATCGCCGTTAGGGTTTATTTTATTTTTTTCAGTAGAAATTTTGTAAATTGGAAACGATATAGGAATTTCAATGTAAAAATTCTAGGAGGAGATTTATCATGGATTTTGAAGAAGGATGTAAATGTATCTAATTTTTCTTGGTTTATAAAATTGTTTTGTGTTTTTGAATAAATTGAAAAAGTGTTATGATTTTTATTTTTTCAGATTTTGGTGACAATTTTTTGAAATTGTTAAAATTCTAGAAAATTCAGGAAATCTGGGTTACTGTCGCACAAACACCGTTCGACCTCTCCAGTCAGCCGGTTAGTGTAAGGCGGTCGATCGGTGGAGTATAACTATTCTGTCACCGGTCGATTAGACCTAACGTGGCAGTGCACGATTTTGTAGTTTTTTGAGAAAACATGAAAAATAATTTTATGATAACCAAAATTTGATCGTGATGAAGAATTTAAGGACAACCGGGAACACTCAAGATGAATGATCGATATATGTTTCGATTATTCTTAGTAATCTTTATTTTTTCTTTTCTCTAGAATGGAACCATAATATTACGGTTATAATTATTATGCTTGTTGCCTAGCTTAATTGTTTTGTATGATTGCATATAATATGATAACATGTCATGTAGAATAGGGAGTGGTGCTCATTAAAATTGTTCATGCATATTTTTAACATAAAACCTTGTTTTCAAAAACATTGAGTGGGTAAGGGTTTTTTGAAGAAAAGGCCAATGGTCTCCATCGTTGGTCCACAGGTAACACATGATGATACCAACTCCTAGGAAGAAATTCATTATGTACCGGTGTGGATCTCCAAGAGGATACTTTATTTGAACATATTTCATGGTTGTACACCCCTAGGTGACAATTATAAAAAATGGATCAAATAGCTTAAACGATGGTTATACACTCAAGATTAATTTAATTATTAATCTCCCCTAGGAGCTCTGTTAATTAAATTAATTGCCAAAGAAAATGATTATCAATATGTACTAGACAGAGATTGATCTAGATGGTATATATTGATCGGAGGGGAACCGTGTTCCCAATTAAATTTTGCATGATCTCCCCTAGGAGACTTATAAAATTTTGAGTTAGGAACTATCGTTGTAAAGTTGTAATTTTTTCAAGGTTTTGACACACAAACATATTAGTTGCATTATAATATGTATATATGTTTGATTACTAAACATCTATGCAAGTTTGCTTATACTAGATATATGAATATTTATTGTAGATCAAAATGTCTGCTAGCGCATTATCATCGATACTTAATAAACACACTTTAACTGGCGAGAATTTTATCGATTGGAAAAGGAACCTAAAGATCGTCCTAACCTTTGAGAAATTAAGTTTCGTACTGAATACACCTTGTCCTCCGGAGCCACCTATTGATGCTCCTAATGAGGATTTCCTAGCATATCAACGCTGGAAGGACTCTGACGGTATGGTTCGCTATTATATGATGGCGATCATGTCCACTGTGCTTCAAGCACAACATGAAGATTACATAACTGCTCGTCAAATTATGGATAATCTTGAGGACATGTTTGGCGGCCAAGCCACTAAAAAACGTCAGGAAGCCCTAAGTAATCTCATTAATTGCAGACAGAAGGTTGGGTCTTCCATAAAGAAACATTAGCTGAAGGTGTTGGGCTATTTGGCTGACGCTCAAACAAATGGGGCTGAAATTGATGTCGAGTCTCAATTAACCATGATCTTTGAGACTTTGTCGAAGGAGTATATTCCGTTTAGAGCAATGTTAAATTTGAGCGCTAAATAGAATATAACCTTGACAAAGTTGATGCAAGAACTCCAAAAGTGCGAGCGGATGATCAAGGGGTCAACTATTGTGGAGGCTAACTTGGCTGAGGCATCTTCCTCTAAATCCTCTCCAGGGAATGAAAAGAAGAAGCAAGGAGCCAAGAAGGAGAGTTCTTCAGTTCTGCCAAATAAGGACAAGAACAAGAAGAAGAAGAACTCAAACAAGATCAAATGCTTTCATTGCGGGAAGGTGGAGCACATGAAGAAGAATTGTAAGGACTACCTTGCCTCTAAAGACAAAGGAGGTGAATGTGATCTTTTGATTGTGAAAGCATGTCTAGTTGAGGTATCCAATGACAACTGGGTCATAGATTCTGGAGCAATTAATCATGTGTGTGTTTCTCTGCAGGGGTTCAAACAAACGAGAAGTCATCTAAATAAGAGCATCACATTGAGGATGAACGATGGAACTCTAGTATTAGCTGAAGTAATCTCTTAATAAAACTATTAAATGTATTTTTAAAAATAAATTCTGTCTGAGATTAAAAAATAAAATAATTTTGAAATGAATTTCAAACGAGGCCATGTTGTTTCTTTGGTGCTTAGCAGTAGTGCTGGAACTTCGGGTCGGCGGACCGCCCGAAGCCTGAATTTTTTCGGGCTCAGGCGGGCCGGCCCAATTCCCGCCCGTCCAAGAAAGAAATTCGGGTTCGGGCTTGGGCAGCCCAGATTTGACATGTCCACCCTTGCCTGCCGCCGTCCGCCGGGATTTTTTTGCATTTTTCCGACCAAGCCCGAACTGCCCGACCCGAAAATTAGGTGTGCCCGAATTGCCCGACCCGAAGCTAGAATTTTTGAATTTTTTGAATTTTGCCCGAATTTTTCCCGCCTACCCGAATTGCCCGACCCGCCCGAGGTGCTCGAATTGCCCGAATACCCGAAAACGGCTAGTTTTTTAAATTTTGCCCGAAAACCCGAGTTGCCCGAAAACGGCTAGTTTTTTTAATTTTTACGCGAATTCGGCCCGAAAACCCGAGTTGCCCGAACTGCCCGAATTGCCCGAATTGCCCGAACGGCTAGTGTTTTGAATTTTGCCCGAAATTTGCCCGAAAACCCGAGCTGCCCGAGTTTGCCCAACTGCCGAACCCGAATTTCAAAAAACTAGCCGTTTTATCCCTTTTTTTTGAAAAAAAAAATCATTTTTTAACCCTAAAATTTCCCTATAAATACCCCCCATCCCTCACACATTTTTCTTACTCAAACTCTCTTAATCCCTCTCAATCTCTCTCAATTAGAGATAGTCTTGCATGGATTCAAGGTAGTAATCAAAGACAAGAAGATTGGTTTAGGTTCTTACAAGCATTAAATATACCTCCTAGAGCATTAGCGTTAGATATGCCTATAAGATGGAACTCAACTTATATTATGCTTCAACATTGCATCCCTTATAAGAATTCTATAATAATCTTTATGTGTGCAAAATTAGGAGTAGGACATATAGATGAATTTGATTGGCAAATTGCCGAAGTTTTGTATCAATTTTTAGGTAGGTTTCATGAAGTTACTCTAAAACTTAGTGGAAAATACTACTACCCAACATCACCTTTAGCTTTAGGAGAGCTTTTAAGAATTAGTATTTTATTTCACGAATGTAGGGAGGATCCAATCTTAGGAGTTCCTGTTCAGTCTATGGAAAAAAAATTAAAAAATATTGGTCTAAGTTGCCTTTGTTATATGGTTTAGGTACAATTTTTGATCCTAGATTAAAATTAGACGAATTAGAAAGTGGTTTAGAAAACTTAGGTGAATTTTTAGGCATCACTTGTACGGACCAATTTTCAATAATAAAGGCAAAAATATATGAGATCTATAGTAAATATGAGATTAGGTTTAGAAACACAAACTCTAGAGTACAGGAACCGCAACAACAGGATGAAAACCCACATTCATTCTTGAATGTTTTCGGGTTAAAGAAGAAGAAGAAGAAGACAACTCAAACGGAAGCTGTGAGTGGAAGTGGATCTTCATCAACAAGTGGCAGTGGCGGCAGCAGCTTCAACGAACTTATGGCGTACCTCAGTGAAGGCTTAGTAGTCGGCAGTGCGGCAGAATCGTTTGACTTAGTTCAATGGTGGAAGGCACGGGTATTAACTTGGCCAATCCTAACTCGATTGGCAATGAATACATTTTTTATCCCAGTCTCCACTATTTCATCCGAACAAGCTTTCAGTACGACAGGAAGAATACTTGAGGAACGCCGGAATGCATTACAAAGGGATATTGTTGAAGCCTTGGTTTGCATTAAGGATTGGGACCGGGCCGATCAACGTCTACAAGATACAATTTCACCGGCAAGCCAAGAATGGATCGATGAATTTAATCGATTAACATTTAATTTTGAAGACGATCCCTCAGCTTCAAATTAAATTGTAAATTTGTAATTTGTAAATATGTATTTACTTTTTACATTGTATTTGTAATTTAATAAACAATGTAAGTTTGTACAATTTGTAATTCGTCACAAAATAATTACACTTTTTTTTCCTTGTCACTTAATATTAAAAAAAAGTTTAAAAAATTCGGGCAATTCGGGCGGGCTCGGGCCGCCGAATACAAGCCCGCGGCCCGTTCAAGGTAAAATTCGGGCTCGGGTGGGCGACCCAAAAATCTCGGGCGGGTCGGGTTCGGGCTCAGGCAAATCCTCAGACTTTTCGGGCGGCCCGTCCAAAGTTCCAACACTACTTAATAGTAGACGTTTGGAGTTTGGAGTTTTCACTTTCGTCAAAGATCCCGCCAAGGGCAATAATTCACGAGTTCAAAAACCCCCCCGCAAGATCCGCGTAACAGAATCTCCACCAATCAGATTCAAGAAAAAATAATCCAACGGCTACTAATCTCAAATTCACACTTGACGAGGATCGCTGCGAAATCCAACGGCCATTGTCCAACCCTCTCCATCTATAAAAATAAAACCCCAAAACGAAAAATCACAACGGCACATTTCCAGTAACAAAAACAGAGAGAAGAAAAACTCAAAGGAAAGTACGAGAAGAATCTTTCCCAGAAACTTTACAGAAGATGTCGGGGAGAGGAAAAGGAGGAAAGGGGCTGGGAAAGGGAGGCGCGAAGAGGCATCGGAAGGTGCTCCGCGACAACATCCAGGGGATAACGAAGCCGGCGATCCGACGGCTGGCGAGGCGTGGCGGAGTCAAGCGAATCAGCGGTCTGATCTACGAGGAGACTCGCGGTGTCCTCAAGAGCTTCCTCGAGAACGTCATCCGCGACGCCGTCACCTACACCGAGCACGCTCGCCGGAAGACCGTGACCGCCATGGACGTCGTCTATGCTCTCAAGCGCCAGGGCCGTACTCTCTACGGCTTCGGAGGTTGATTTGGTTCTGATGCTTCTCCTCTAGAGCTAGGGTTGGGGTTTGGGATTTTCATCCCTTTTGTTACCGAAATGATAGATGAATTCTCTGTATTACCAAGGGTATATTGGTGTATTTATGCTCTTATTAGGTTTTGGGTTTTTTTGTATTTAGGATTAGGGCTTTTGAAAACAAATTTACCAAATACTCATCTGTTTTTGGTCACAGCTGAAGCTTAGCACAACTAAGAGCAATTATTTTAAAAGCACAACAATTCTAAACTTGCTTTTATCTATGTGGATTCTAGATTGAGGAGGAGAATCTGCTGAAAGAGGATTGTAATATAAGAGGAGGAAGGGGTAAACTTTTTTTCAAATATACCACATGCATTATGATAATGCAATGTAATTTGACTTTCATGTTGATCTGAATGGATCATCCTTTTTACTGAGTCAACTTGGATAGCAAGTTAAATTCGTCTCAATAGGTCATGTATTTTTATTGCTATGGAATTCATGAATAAAGCAATTAATGGTGGGTTTACCATTAACTTTTTTATAATTTTGGATTTCTCGTATGTTGGCAATGAAGTACTACTAGTTGTGCTCCCTTTCACATAATAGAAAATTATTGAAGGATCAATTGCTATAGGTTTTCTATTGGACCTGGCAAGTGACGTGTATACAATTACACCTTTGCTTTTATTTGAAACATGTTTTTCTTCTCTAACCTTTTTGTGTTATTTAGGTTTTATTTATTTTATTTATTTGAGTTTTTAATTTTTAATTTTTATATTAAAAAATTTTATTTAATTTTTTTTTGTTATAGTGAAAATTTTTTTAAAAATGTTATATTTCATGAATTGAAAATTTAAATTTATAAAGGGATTGAAATTGGCCTAACATGGTCCACAAATAACCATCAAACGGAGATCTCCTGATTCCACCCTATGTTTGTATTTGTGGTAGCCATGCGGTGTTGGAGATGTTGGAAGTTGTCATACTAAAATCTCCCAACGTGATGGCTGCCATAGTAGATTCTCTCCGGCGTAAGGGCGTGGTTGCTGCCATAGTAGAATCTCTCCGGTATAAGGGCTTTCGTGGAGGGATCTTTGCCACTGCAGCCGGTGCTCTGCTCCCTACATCTTTTGATTGAAATCCTTGGAGTAGAGAGTACTAGGATACCACCAGTAGCATAGTAGTGTACTACCACTAGCTAACAACATACTATTAGTAATAGATTATCGTTGCTTTTGGGCTACTGTAGGTATCCTGGTATGATACTATCATGGGCTTCCTTGGTATTAAGCAAGACTACTATGATCCTGGTATGATACTATCATGGGCTTCCTTGGTATTAAGCAAGACTATTATGAAACAATCTCCAAAAATAACCAACATTTATATTTAATCTTACATGGATGATGAGATATTGGTTTTTTTTTTTTTTTTTTTTAAATGATATAGCACTGCTGAGCCTCCAATTTTTCAGCGCGATTCCAATGTGATCAAAATTGTGCTATGATTATCCACGTCATGCATTGGCCTTTGTGTTGCACCGTGGTCTCCATGGCTGGCAGAGGCATCAACAGGGGCAAGGGCAATGATAAGGAATAATAAAATGGTAATCAAACATGGCTCGTTTAGTTCGTTAATTTGAGTTGAGATATAATTTTATATAAAAATTTTTTATTATAATTAAAAAGTTAGATTTTTTTAGATGTGATTGTTTATGAGAGTTTTTTACTATAGTAAAATTTAAATTTTAAACTTTAATCGGTGAAATGAACGAAATTAAATGGGACTATAAAATTACATTTAAATTCGAATTAAAAACTCGAATCAGCGAACTAAATGGGTTCTATTTGATTCTGATTTTTTTTTCGCTGTTGAGTTTGATTACGAAATACCGTTGTAAAATCATTTTGTGAAATTATGAGTTTTGAGATAGAATAAGAAAAAAATAATGTAACAATAATTTCAAAAATTACATCCATTGCCGTTGGGTGCAGGGGTGGCGGTAATGGATCTCACGGGGAAAACAATACTATTGCTCAATAGTTTCTTTTTTATTATTATTAATATAATGGATCTTTTTCAAAAAAAAAAAAATGTTTTTAAGTTCTAATTTCCCTATTTATAAATTATAATGATCTTGTTGGTTGATTTTTTATTTATTTATTTATAATAAAGTCTGATATTTACTAAAAATATGTTCTTTGAAAAAATATTTTTACAAATATCCTTTAGTAAATTTCACTTGGTTCGTGACCATGTTTCTATTTAACATTTTTCTTTAATTATTTTTAATTAAAAGCCCATTTAGTTTGCTGATTTAAGTTTTTAATTCGAATTTATATGTGACTTATGTGATCTTTTTACTGTAATAAAAAAATTAAATTTAACTGTTTATGAGAGCTTTTTACTGTAGCAAAATGCGAATTTTAAACTCAAATCGGTGAAATGAACATTATCTAATTCTACTATCTATTTCTTTATGGGCAAGTTTATGGTAAGGACATTTTCCTTTTGTATTCTTAGGTCTCATTTATTTTCACTGATTCAAGTTTTTAGTTCTAAATTTTTATAGTGAAAAGCTTTTAGAAAATATCACATCTAATTTTTCTGTTACAGTTAAAAATTTTTAAAAAATATCATATCTTGACTCAAATTAAAAACTTAAATTTTCAAAATAAATGATGCCTTAATTTCAAAAAAAAAAAAAAAAAAAAAAACAGAAAACTATTCTGTTTCTTTGCGCTTAGCAGTAGACGTTTGAAGTTTGGAGTTTTCACTTTCGTCAAAGATCCCGCCAAGGGCAATAATTCACGAGTTCAAAAACCCCCCCGCAAGATCTGCGTAACAGAATTTCCACCAATCAGATTCAAGAAAAAATAATCCAACAGCTACTAATCTCAAATTCACACTTGACGAGGATCGCTACGAAATCCAACGGCCATTGTCCAACCCTCTCCATCTATAAAAAGAAACCCCAAAACGAAAAATCACAACGGCACATTTCCAGTAACAAAAACAGAGAGAAGAAAAACTCAAAGGAAAGTCCGGGAAGAAACTTTCCCAGAAACTTTACAGAAGATGTCGGGGAGAGGAAAAGGAGGAAAGGGGCTGGGAAAGGGAGGCGCGAAGAGACATCGGAAGGTGCTCCGCGACAACATCCAGGGGATAACGAAGCCGGCGATCCGACGGCTGGCGAGGCGGGGCGGAGTCAAGCGAATCAGCGGCCTGATCTACGAGGAGACTCGCGGTGGCCTCAAGAGCTTCCTCGAGAACGTCATCCGCGACGCCGTCACCTACACCGAGCACGCTCGCCGGAAGACCGTGACCGCCATGGACGTCGTCTATGCTCTCAAGCGCCAGGGTCGTACTCTCTACGGCTTCGGAGGTTGATTCTTGTTCTGATGCTTCTCCTCTAGATCTAGGGCTGGGGTTTGGGATTTTCATCTCTTTTGTTGCCGAAATGATAGATGAATTCTCTGTATTAACAATGGTATATTGGTGTATTTCTGCTCGTATTCGGTTTAGGGTTTTTTGTATTTGGGATTAGGGTTTTTTTTTTTTCCTGACCGAATTGGACGAATCAGACGTTTGATTTGTGATATTGAAGCCAAATTATAAGTTCAATTTTTGTATTGACTCTGGTATTTTGATATATCTCTCTATCATATATCTGAAATTCTCTGTTGCTTCTTATGGTTTTGTTTTTGAATTTTCTTTGATTCGCATTTTGTAATATTGGGAAATTCTAGTACTTATAAAGCGCAAGATCAAGATGAATTTGGCCATTCTTATTTCTAGGCTTTACGTGTTCTGATTGGAATCGATTTTTGTGGATGGTAAAGATTTTGACTTGTTGTGACGTTGGAAATGAAAGAAGATAAGAAACAAAAGGTGTGGATTGTTTCTACTAGAAAGAGGGACACGAAGTTACTTTGTGTGCCACGAATTTGATTGCATTTGACTCGTTAAATGATGAAAAAAAAAACAAAAATTGATGGAAAAACTTTACCCAACATTTCCTAAAAGAAAAAGAAAACCCTTTTGTCCTACTTTAACGAGATTTTCCAATCCAATTTATTAATTTTAAAAAAAGAAAAATACAAAAATCTAAGGTTTGTTCATTTTGACTCTGTTGGTTTAATTTGAGTTTTATTACAATAAAATTTTTTTATAAACAGTTATAATTAATTTTATTGTTACAGTAAAAAGTTTTCACATAAAATTACATTTCAATTCAAATTTTAAATTTAAATTAGTGAAACGAATGAGATTTTTATTATTTGAGTTTAGAATTTGAGTTTTGTTATAGTAAAAATTTTTAAAAATAGTTATATCAAATTTTTTTATTACAATAAATTTTTTTTACATAAATTCACATTTTAACTTAAATTAAAAATTTAAATTAGTGAATTATACAGCTTTAAGTAAAATTAACCAAAATCTAATAGTTCAAACATATTCCTGAAGGCGAAAGCAAAATCAAAGTTCTTTATACTTTGTTTATTTTGAGATTAGTTGAATCATTTATTATACACAAACTAGCTTCAAAAACTAGATTCATTAAATGGTGCAAAAGGAAAAAAAAAAGTATTTCAAAAAATCACATTGAAAAATAATTAAAATTATAGGATTTTTTTAATAATTTAAGTAAGAAGATATTTAAAAAGAATTATTTTAATTAAAAGAAAGTATTTAAAATAAAGATATTATTAAAAAATGAAAATGAATTGTTTAAAAATGGGATATTTATCTTTTTATACTTATGTTTTAGGTTTATTTAAAAGTTATATTTTCATTTTTTATCTCATTAAATGTATACCTTCAAATTAGATTTAATATTTAAATTTATACCTTATCACAATTAACTCTCTATTTTAACTTTAAAAATACCTAAAATACTCTTGAATAGAAAGAGAGGAAAATAAATTTTTTTTATAGGCTTATAGTTTTGACCTAAAAAATATGCAAAATACCATTAAAATGGGTTGTGTTTTTATTTTTTGTAATATTTAAAAGTTTTAGTTATCTTTTTCTTTTTTTCTTAAGTATAGTTGTCAAACTTAATTATTCATTGAGAAGACATAAATTTGTATATGAAATTTAATTCAAAAGTATACATTTGATGAGATTAAAAACTAAATGTATAGATTTTTAATAAACTTAAAACACATGGTATAAAAATATAAATATCCCGTTTAAGAATATTAGAGTCCGTTTGGTATCTAGATTCGTTCTATGATTCGAATCATGGTTTATGATTCGTTACAGTATTTTCTTTCACAAAAAATACACGTAAATCAAAAATAATTCTAATCACATGGTTTGAATCCATGAACCAAACGCCACCTTAGTGTTGTAAGTGACCTTGGTTGGTGTTCTTAGCAATAAACTCTAGCAGTTTTGTTAAACGAACTTCTGCCGTGCTCGATTATTAGTGTGTTGAGTGAGTGTTTTCCTATTAGGACTTGACACTTGTATTTACTTTTGTGCCTTGTTCGTTTGTAAAGAGAGAAAAAGCTCAAATTTTGATGGATATTTCTCAGGCTCTTAAAGATTTTTTATTTTATTTTTTGAAACATGTTTCTCTCCTCCCATCTCTTTTCTCGGCACTTGTTGTACTGTCATCCGTCGTCGCGTCATACTTAATGTGCTTTTGCTTGTCAACGTACAACGTCGGACACATGGCCGGCTTAAGCAAATTTGAGGCCTTAAAAGCGAAAATTTTAACAAGGACCTTTTCCCATAATAAAGAAAGAAGATATAAAAATATGTTAAAAAGTTAGTTAGACCTATTTTAATTAGGATTCTTAACTATTTGGGGGCCTTAATTATTTGGGGTCCTTAAGCAATTGCTTAAATGGCCTAATGGAAGAGCCGGCACTAGTCGAGATGCTATCAGCTGCCACTGCGGGATCTCTCCTGTTTAGGGATTGGCGCAGAGTGATTTCTCTTGTTGTATCCCGTAAGTGGTGCCCCGCTCTCAAACTCTTGGATTTTTTTTACTATGTATTTATTTTTCTAAACGTGGGGTGAGAAAATCATGCTTTTATTTGCTATTTATTTAATTTTTTTTTCCTAATACTTGGGGTGAGAAATCCCTGATAGCACGGTAAACTATCACCACTAGCTAGAATTTCCAGTTACTTTGAATATTCAGTAGAATCAGTACTAGCTTCAGTATTACAACACAACATTGGTAACACGGTAGACTATCATCAACTCTCTATTGCTTATCCTAGTATAATACTCTCATGCGTGTTTTTGATATATTAAGGGTTTGTTTGGTATGAGAGTTTAAATGATGGTGATTTTAATTTTGATTTTAGTTTTGATTTTAGAATCAGAATCATGATTTATAATTTTAGGCCTAAATTATAGTTCTGAAACTAAAATCAGAATCAGAGGTTTGAATTCCCAAAAACTAAAATGATGGTTTTAGAATTAGAGGTGATTCATAGTTTAAAACATTACATCAATGTTTAAACTTTAAATCAGAATCATTATAACCAAATACTGATTCTGAGTGAGTCAAATCATAATCACTTTTTACTTTATATAAACAAATACTAGTTCTAAATCAGAATCATAGTTTCAGATGCAAATCCGTACATCAAACAACACCTAAATTTATTAAGTTATCCAACTTATATTATGCAAAGAGGGGGGGTTAAAGGTAAATCGGGTCCAATGGTTCCAGGATATGCTCGTTAAATATTGAAGAGAAAAGTATATAGTCTGTCATAAATTAAATTAAAAAGAAAGTCGTGCGAAACACGTTAAATTCGCAAAAAAAATAAAAAAATAAAATCATATGATAATTTAATAAAATTTAATAAATAATTGAATTGTGTCATATCAACTTCGGAGGGATGAAATCAGCCACAGTGTTTACTGTCGAAACATCAATCTACTTCAAATTTTTAACCACACGTGTTGTAGGGGGAAAAAAAAAACAAAGAAAAAAAAACAGAAGAAAATAATAAATAAATAAACAAACGAAAGAAGTATTTTTAGACTTTATTAGGACTTTAGTTTTTAATTTAAATTGAGAAATAATTTTATGTGAAATTTTTTAACTGTAATAAAAAAAATTAAATATTATTTTTTTTTAAATTTTTTTTAATTATAATAAAATTAAAATTAAACATTCAAATTCACAGGGCTTTAGCCTTTGATGATGAGCACATCAAGTTGCCTTGCTCTCCTCTCTTTCGTTTGTTTGCTCTTTGCTTTTTTCTTCATATAAGAGTGTCTATTTCCGCAGGGTGCAGTCTAATTTCCTTTCTTTCATGAATCTCTAAATTCTCTTCCTTCTTCTCTAGTAGATCTCTCCAAAATTAAAAAGAAAAAATGGGTCATTGTACTATATAAATCCATGTTAGGTGGCTGCAAAAAAATTACATGCGGTGGATGGTGCAGCCACCAGAAGTGATGAGTGAAAAAAGAAAGTGATACCACAGTGGCGTATTTACGCCCCCATGTACTTTTCTCTTTTTTTTTTGCTAATTAATAAAAAAAAAAGAAATTAGTGGTACATTCACGCCTTCACTCAGTGTCTTAAGAGAAATTTATTGAGACTACAGGTGGGACGATACGAGAACTCGGCTTATACTTTCATTTGGTAGCGTTCACGGAATCTAAATTACACTAAGCCCACTGAGAGGCATAATTGCAGCCTCACTGCGGATGAGAGTCATAATTGCAGTCTCACTGCGGACACGAAGAGAATCGCTCCCTAAATAATGGGAGAGAGAGCCCTGCGGATGAGAGTCATAACAGATCGTTGTTTGCTGCAATGACACAACTGATCAATGTGTGGAAAGTTGATACCTCCCTATCTTGGCACCGAAGGCAAATTGTCGAACAAGAGACTTTTCTTCAAACCAAAATTAAGGAAGCTGGGGATAAATCATAAAACGATCTCGAAACAAAAATTTGAATCTTTTTCTTTTTCTTGTTTTTGGCTAAAAAAAAAATAAAAATTTGAATATTACTTGGAAGGTTTAAACAATACAAAGTTGTCCGCCGCTAATAGTTTGGACTAGTCAAAGACGTCATAGCCTCCATGACAATTTTCTAGTATTTAATAGGTATAGTAAATGTAATGCTCAAATTATTATCAACTATACATTACACTATAATACCACATCAATTAAACGGTTTTTTTTTTTTTTTTTTTTTTTTTTTTTTTTAAAAAAAAATCAATTGAACGGATTTATTGATTACCACTGTTTGCTAATCTGACCAATTATAAAATGATACTTGGAAAACAAAATATGCAAGCAAACTGGCTAAGAGGGAAAATAAAATGAGACTTCCTTTAGTATTCTTTCTTTTTTAGAAACATCGGTATTTCTTATTTATTAGTCGTTGGATCTGTATCAAATATGGTTAAAAATCAAATCAAATAAAATATGCAAGCAAACTGGCTGAAAGGTTTTTATTTAAAATTTTATATCACAAAACGTGTTAAAATTCATGAGATATTTACAACTAATTAGTTATGGTCCATAAAAGTTGGAGATATTTGTATTCATGAAGTGGTGTTTGAAAGTGCATCTCTCATGAAATCAGTTGGTTGTGGATAAATGTCCTTTTCATTATACCAGCCTGTAATCACTCTAGAATTAATTCTTCAAAATTTTCAACTTCTACACGAAAGTATGAAACATATAACTCATGAATACTTAGGTGGTTCAAGATCTTATTAGTTATTAAAGCATTGTCGAACGCTTTTTTATTTCGATTTTTATTTCATTTTTTCATTTTTTTTTTGGTGTTGCCTTTAAAAGGACTCCTTTTAAAGAACTATTCAATATTAAAGACCATCTCAAGTGTAAATGTTAATGTCATTATTATTATTTTTTAATTAAAAAGTGTTAAAATTAAAATATTTAATGTGCTATTCTATTTTATAATCTAATACATAATACTATTCAACTACTATTTTGAATGCTATATTTACTTTTTCTCATTATAAAAAAGTAGACTTCTAATAATAGTAAAATAAATTGAGAATTACAATGTTATCATTATTAAAAGAAAAAGTTAATGCATCAACCAATAACAATTAAATGGTAAAATTTATTATCTATTATACTTGATGTGAAAATTGTTATCAAGTATATGATTTGACAAATTTAACGTAATAAATTACATTGTAATGAAGAATATTTTTAAAAAAAATGCTAAAATGTGATATTAACACATCGATTTGTCATGTATTGGAGATACTTTAAGGAGGAAGATGGCCAAAAAAAAAAAAAAAAAGATTAAGGTACTTGGTTGACTGCCTCTCTTTATGTACATACGAGTATATTTCAAACCAAATTAATACCGGAAGACTATTTTGCGTTGAATAAAATGGCTTCAATTAACTAAGGCAATGACCTTATTTGCACCTAAAAAGTCACGTAATTAAGCAAGTATATGGGATCTGTACTTTTTTTTTTTTCAAAGAATATACATGGGATCTGTACTTACAACTTACAAAAGATAAAATATTATTACGGATTTGCTTAATGAGTTGGAAAGAAAGAAGGGATTTCTTTTTTTTTTTTTTTTTCGTAATTGTTTTTCTTTTAAAAGTAGTTTTGTACTCGTCTGAAAGTTAGATACTAATATCAATACATCATATACACACCAAAATGTGAATGCATTGTTCTGTGCATGTCTCATCCAATGCGTTAATCTTTATGAATGGAATTGGGAAGAAGAATCTAGTTCAAAAGTTAATATGAGAATCTAGTTCAAAAGTTTGTAATTTCACTGTTAATTGGGAAGCACGTTATCAATTAGAGCATAATAAAAAACCAGCAAAAAGAAAAAAATTAGAGCTCAGTGAAAAAAATCAAAGAAAGCCTGAAAGTAAAAGAGCAAGCTTTCAGAAAATGAAAAGAAAAAAGTATTCTGAGTATATCAGTGGCGGGCATAAATACGGAAATAAAGAGTATAATTATGGAAGTTATAAGAGAGTTAATTTTTTTCTTTTTTGCTTTTTTAGCGGGGGTCTATTCTTCCACCGGTCCTATTGAGAAAAGTATATGTATAGTAAACACATATGAGGGGGAGATTATTGAAAAAAATACATGTGTGTGTTGTCCCACATAGAAAGTGGATGAGAATGTAAAGTGATTTATATACATAGAATGACTCAAGACCTAATAAGTTAATTTTTTAGGTCAAATTAGATTTCTAAAGTGTGTTAGACTAGTTTCGCATATAATATCTTCCCAACAAATCCTAATGTCACTCCGTCTATATGGTTGTATGCATTGTATGCAGTCAGAAAAAGGTATTTAATACTTAACAACACCAGTGGCTAGTGATGCTTAGGCCCTGTTTTTTTTTGCTGATTCGAGTTTTGCTACAGTAAAAAGTTCTCAGAAACAGTCATATCTAACTTTTTTGTTACAGTAAAAAGCTCTCACACAACATCACATCTCAACTCGAATTAGCGAACCGAACGGCCCTTTTATTTATTTTTTGAGGCGTGATAATGGGGTTAGACTAGGTGATAAAAGTTTCAACTACTAACCATAAGTACACTACTAGTATAGAATTAATGCTTGGCGTGTTTTTGTTCTTTTATGTTCCTCTAACATTTAAAAAAAAAAAATCAATGGAAGCATATTACGTATATATGTTAAGATAATTTTTGATACATATATAACAGTTAAAAATAAAAATTACTAATAGTTTTTTTTTTCTCCGATCCTACCACAAAAATTTCCACCGCTAATCAATAATGCATGAAAGCATAACAGCTACAAAATTGCTATCCGACACCGTATAGGACAACTCAACATGAAAGAGAGCAAGTGGATCCCACTTCTTGTTATCATGGCATCTTTCATTTTCTATCCTTTGATTCTTTGATTATGTACGTATACGTATATATGCCATTTTTAGGTCTCCATTATTCCTAAGAAAGGGAATGAAAGAAACTCCAAACTAAACTTACATACTATAGCAAATTATTGATGTAAGAAAAGGAGAAAAGAAAAAAAAAATAAAGAAAAACCTAAACTTAGAGGGTAGAAGGGAGCTTTTATAATAGTGACCATCTCACCAGTCATTTGTGTAGAAGGTAAAGTGAAAACTACAAAAAGAAGACCCCATTAGAGGTAAGACTTTAAGTATGATGAGAGAGAGAGAGAGAGAGAGAGAGAGAGAGAGAGAGAGAGAGAGAGAGAGAGAGAGAGAGAGAGAGAGAGATATACATTTTCATTGGTGGCTTTGGTGAGGACAGGTGACCTCTTAAATGGGTATATTCGTGGCCGTCCCAACATCGTACGTTTAGAGAAAAACAAACGACATTAACCGCCAACTAACATTGAGCAAAAAAAAAAAAGAAAACCAGCATTGTCCAAAATAACCTCCCTATCTCAGCCGGTTTAATTAATATTCACGAAAATACAAACAAAGTGAAAAAAAAAAAAAAACACGGGCATTTGTTTTTTTTTTTGGGGCTTCCTAATTTTTTTCTTATAATGTTTGATTTTTTTTTTTTTTTTTTTTTTTTTTTTGTAGGTGTGTGGAAATTCTTTTTGAATTATTATATGTTTTAAAAGATTCCCTAAAAAAAGACATTTTAAATTCAATTGCTTTTAATATACATGAAGTGCCGACCACAATAGATAGATTTCGTAACCCTGGAGTTATAAAATTTTTGTCAAAATGAAATAAATTAAAAGAAATACACATGTGAAGAAATTTAATAAACATTTGAATTAAAAAAAAGGTTAATTTTTTTTTTAAATTTTTTTATAGTACTCTAAAACAAAGTTTCCAATCTATAAAATTACTGTTGTCTATAGCTCTCTTCAATTATATATGACTCTCTTTTTATTGTTTTGGCTTTTGTATTTTAAATTTAGTTGATTCTATTACACTTTTGATTTAGGAAGTGCGAAATAGATAGATAGATAGATTTCGTACCCTAGAGTTCTAAATATTTTGCCAAAAGAAAATAAATTAAAAAATACACATTTGATGAAATTTAGTAAACATTTGATTTTTTATAGAAAAAAACATGTAAATATTTTTTACTCTCGAACAATATTTCCATGTCTATATAATTACTTCTGTCTCTAGCTCTCTTCAATTATATATATATATATATATATAGTTTTAAATTTTCTTTTTTATTTTTTTGGCCCCTTTCACCTCCTATATGCGTTTCTGGCTATTTCTTTAGATGCTGTTTCTCATATCTGTATATCACTCCTTATTTTCTATCGAAAAAAATAAAAAATTTACCGAGTATATGAATTTAGGCTTTTAATCTTTACTCTTGATAAATATAATTTTATTAATGTGATTATTTAACTAAAAAGACGATACATTTTCAAAAAATATTTATATTACTCTTTCCTCTCTTTTTTTCTAGAAGCCGTCAAGAAGAAACATAAAAAAAAAAAGGTCACATCCCCGACAAAAAAAAAAAGTTTTGATTTTTATGATTTAGTCCCTAAAGAAAATTCCAAGACATCCTCCAAAAAGAACTCTCTTCTTTTCTCCCTCTCTCTATATATATTTCTCTATTAAGGTATATCTATATATCTATATAACAGTATACAAATTGTACTAACTCTTTTCATTGTACAAGTAATTCCTAAGACAATTCCCTCTTTCTGTTGCTTCCTTCCATTTTCCATTTCCCGTCTCTCTCTTTCTCTCTTCTTTCTGAAACTATATCAAATATGGAATTCAACGACGATAATAACCTTGATATTCACCATATCCAACAACAACAAGAAGAAGAAGATCAAGAAGAAGCAGAAGAAGCACTTTCTCTCTCCGAGCTTCCTCTAAGCAACGACATGTCGTCCAAGAACAACACAACTAATTCGAATCGCCGGTCGGCTTCGGAGCCACCGGAGTTGTTCGAGTTCTTCAGCGACTTAAGCTCCGACCACAACATGTCTTCTGCCGAGGACATTATCTTCTGCGGGAGACTTATACCCTTCAGAGAACAAAGCCCTCCCAAGTTCAATTTCTCCAAGGATTTCGACGAGAAACCGACATCGGGTTTTCGTCGACGATCGGAGTCTTTATCGGAGTTACAAAGCTCCGGTGTTTCCCGGTCGAGCAGCAACACAAAAGCCAGGATGGTCATGAGGAACAGCCGGTCTTTGGATTACCAAAAGCTCCGTAGGGCTTGGAACACCTCGGCAGTGTCTCCGGCATTGGATATCGACCGGAATTCATCGACAAAGAGCGTTGGGAAGCGCGACGTGTCGCCCAAAAAGGCGGGTCGGGTGCGGTGGTCGTCCTTTCTCATGTTCGGGACGGTGAAGTTCCCGGCGGAGATGGAGCTCGGCGACATCAAGAGCCGGCAGGCCAGGCGGAATGTCCCGATCACGACGACGCTTTTTCCACCGATGGATTCGGGTGGGAATTTGCCGGTTAGCCGGAGTAATTCCAGCAAGAGCGGCGGCGGAGGTGGTGGCTCTTGGAGGCTGCTCAAGGCATTGAGCTGCAAAGATCATGCAAGTGTGGCTGTAACGGCGTCGTTTTACGTGCCTAACGTGTAAAGCCTAGTGGTCACGTGACATGCACGTGGTTCACAGGAAACGACAGCGACACGAAATTCCCTTTATTGTCAGCGTCTGGACTGAACTACCCTTGGCGGGGGTGCCACTACTAATAGGTTTGAGTATTTTGAATCTGGGAGTATTTTGATTTTGTGGGGGCAAAATGGTCAGAAGCGAGTATTTTTGGGAGTTTGCTTTGATTGTTGGAGAAAATATATGTGGTAATTAAGTATATGACTTTACGTAGAAGTAAAGATTTGTGTACAGTGTTGATCGGAAACCTTTTTAATTATCTGTTGTTGTTTTTGTTGTTGATTAATGATAATGTTTTTTCAGGCTCTCTGTCTCAGTTATTGAAAGTGAAGGCCTCTTGTTTTGTTAGGTGGCCATAGAAATGAATGAAAATCACGAGAAACCTGAGAGTGACATAACAATCATGTGTTTTCTGAATTTCAATATATATATATATATATATTTATATAGTACCATCTTTTTGATATTATATGGTATATACACTTTGGTAAATGTCAGTTTCCTTTGGTTTCATCTCAGTGCAAAAATATACATGTTCTTTGCAAGTTTGTAATATTTACAATAAACTTTAATACATATACGACGATTAAAAACTGTGTTCTACTGATAATTAATGTACAAACAAAAACTTTGCATTGTTATCTCGTTCTTGCATAGTAAAAATGTGTTTGGTAAGGGGATTCGTATCCTGATTCGAATCATGATTCATGGTTCACTACAGTGTTTTTTCTCACAAAAAATACACGTAAATCAAAAATGGTTCTAATCTCATGATTCTAATTCATGAACCAAACGTCTCCTAAAGTGTTGAGATTCACAAAAAATACACGTAAATAAAAAATGGTTATAATCTCATGATTCTAATTCATGAACCAAACGTCTCCTAAAGTGTTGAGACGGGATTTGTTGCAGGAAGTTAAAAGCAAAGTTTTTTGTTTTTTTAATTCTAAAATTATTTATTTGTTTAATTTTGAGGATATCTACTCTGTTGGATGTTAGTGTTTGGCTTTATGAATAAGCTGGCGTATTACTCACAAGAGATTACTTCCTTCTAATTAAGTTAATCCAACTTGATTACTAGTGAGCCAAGTTCATACGGTATTAACTATGTCCAAATAAAGCCTTATATTAATTTAATACAATATATATTCGACATAAAATATGTCAGCTATGGTGATTTATTCTTGATGATTGCGTGTGAGCACTATTGACCGACAATATAAGAAAATCATGCTTAATTACTTATCCTTATAATTAGTATGATTTATCATTATAGTATATACTATCTACTTTGAATTAGTTTTGCATATAATTATTTTTGTAAGACATTCTTTTTAATAAATTAATACTAACAACCCTTATTAGCGTTAGCCCGAATCTTCAATTTTCTCTAATAACACAATGTCTTTATTTAATTAAGCATATATTAGTTTGAGCTTAGAAGAAATCTAAGTTAAAATTTCACGATAATATTAAATATTTACGAAAAAAATCGCAATTAAATTCTCTTTGATTTTTTTTCCCTTCTAGAATGATTTGAGAAGGGTATGTGCAGGATTAGAAGGTTCCATATGCTTATTGAGAATTGAAGTATTCTTCAAAGTGATAGGAAAATGCTCATTATGTAAGTAATATGAAAGAAGAGAGAGAAAGAAAGATAATTAACTTATTCTTATAGGAAATATTTGAGTTTAATTCAACACCTAACCTTATGTTGGAAGAATACCCATTTTGAATCAAGTTATCAACATATTATTAGGGCGGTGAAAGCAATGACTTGGTTAGGAATTTTTGCATATCCAACATAAAATGGAATGATTATAGAGAAGAAACAAAATTCTCGTGCTAAATACACCATCATTGTAAATATCAATAAAACAAATCTCATGGTGTCTTTTATTTTATTTTTTATTTTTAAAGTAATAATGGCTTTTTTTCATTAGAAAAGAAGTAAATTTGCGGTCATCCCTAAACTAATCATGATAGGAACTTGTACTGATCCTTTGTCCTAGACCAACTTTGTCTTTAGGAAAAGCAAAGTATAAGCATAATTAGTGAATTAATTGCCTTCTTTAATAATTATTAATTACTAATTACTAATTGTATAAACAAGTCATATTATATGCATTGAAACATGCATGATGCTTCTTTTGGATACGAAAAGGATTCAAAAGTATAATGAAAAAATGAGACTTGAATTATAAGTTTTTGTTGCCTATATATAACCTTGATCATATTATATAGCATGCGAAGCAAAGGTATGGTAATTGGTAAGTCAAACTATTTACTAAATCATTGCCAAGTATTATACTGTCAAGAATTATAATGCCGGACAATAAGTAGTACTAGGGGCTACATGTTAATGGAAAATGATTTTTTACCCATTTAGTGAAACTTTCTTTTCTTTTCCCAAAAGCTCTTGCACTTGAATCAATCCTACAAACCTGGGTGGTTCAATGGCGTCTTCACTACACTATTATAGTTTTTTATTATTATTATATATATAAAAAATTACATAATTTATCCTTAAAAGTACATGCCTTTGAATTTGTATCTTTTTTTTTTGAATTTTTATCTTGATTAATACTCTTCTGTTAGTATAATTATTTGACTAAAAAAAATTATTAATTAAGAGTAAAGAGTAAAAATCATGAACTATGCACTTTTAAAGAGTACTTCTCCTTTTCTCTATTTATAATTTCATTGTTTAAAATTCACCAATTCTAAAGTAAAATGTACAGATTATTATATTCCCAACATGGTATTGAGAATTCTTCTCCGGACACTATAAAAGTTACTGGCAAAACATTAAGGCCTCGTTCACTTTGCAGACTCAAGTTTTCAATTCGAGCTGAGATGTGGTATTTTCTAAGAGCTTTTCATTGTAGTAGAAAAGTTAGATGTGCCATTTTTTTAGAGCTTTTAACTATAGAAATCTAAAACTGAAAACTCGAATCGGTGAAATGAACGAGACCTAATGCTTACTCCAAGTTTTGGGAAAATTTTATGAACTTTTCTTCCCATGTAGATTTCCATTGCCTTCTTTTGAAATATCACGTTTGTCATATTGTTCCAAACGAACTTTTTCCAAGTGGCACGTCAATAAATGAATTGGGAAAAAAAGTTAAGAAAAAGAGACGAAAAACTGAAAGCAGTGTGTAGGCATAATAGATAGAGGAGACCAATATTTCTCCCATTTATGGGGGGCAATTGAAATTGATTGATTTGAGTTGTACCTATTTATTAGATATGGGGCCAAAGTTTGATTCCTCGAGCCTAATGGTGGACCTTTGTGTGCATAGATTGGTCAATTTGTTTGTGAAGTGATTAGCTTAATCTAGCTTTTGTGTTTATACTGATCAATATGTACAACTGAAGTGTTTGGACATATTAAGGTCAATAAACATGGAACTTCATTTTGAAAAGATTCTATTGCTAGTGTATGAAAATGTCTTGACGTATTCAAGAAATTTTGTCATTCATGTTTTATATAAACTCTATAGTGTTAAAACCTAATTAAACAAATGATCAACACGAAGTTTATTATGTTATATACCTAGGAGTTATCTAGTATAATATACTCGACATTATTTAAATCTAGGTCGGAGTGTGGATCATTGCTCTTGTACAATTGGAATTAAAAGATCATTCTCTAGTCTATCACGATGGTTTGAGTTTTATAAACTCGGTTCTCTTAAAACAAATAGACTTGACATGAAGTTGATTATGTTATGCATATATAAGAGCAGCTATCTGAGCAGCTATCTGTTAAGTTGTGTAGTCTAATTATTGCCATGATGATTATTGACTTACACTAAAGAATTTGTAAATCGACGTTAGGAATTTCATACTTGTAAAATCTAGTTGCCCTAACTTTCATTATAAAAAGGGGAATTGTTTTATGGGATTTTTTTTTCTTGGCTACAAAAGATGAATTTTAAATTCATTATAAAAGTTTTTTTTTTTAAATAACTTTCATTATAAAAGGGGCATTGTTTTAGGGTTTTTAGGGCATGGTAAAATGCACAGTTGCCATGATGTGTGTTTTGAGGATGTGATGATCTTTGTGCCAACAAGTTTGCCGCCTTCTTAGTTTTTAGAGTTATTAGAAAGGTTAAAGAAACACAGTTATTAGAAAGGTTAAAGAAACACAAAGAATTATATGGTGTGTGATTACATAGTCTTATATTGAGGCGAATTTTTTTAAATTTGTGTATTTATTTTTGTTTGATTTATTTTTCTGTGATTTATTGCTCTTGATTATATAGAATTAGGGTATCTAATTTTTAACGTTATCTAGAGATGTTATATGAGTCGATCCATCCCAACCTGATCAGTTTAAATTGGATCTAAATGTGCCTCGTGTTGTGTTTGGGCCGATTAATTTACTTTTTGTGGTGTCAAACCTGGTGCACTATCCATTATCAGTATAATATATTCAACATTATATTTTCTTAAGCATTTAATTTGTATCACACAAATAAATAAAAATCAACAAAATGTTACATTAATTTGAACCGTAGAAAAAGTTGGGGCCTTAATATAAAGACATTTTAATTTTGTAACATACCACCTAATGTTCTCTTTTGGTAATTTTCTTTCTTTCTTTTCTTTTTTTTTTTTTTTACGACCCCTTTTGTTTTGTTTTGCTTCGCTTTGCTTTTTTGGTGAAAATGTGAAAATCTGTTATTTTTGATATATGTGCCAAAACTTGGAATACAAGTCTATTGAAATGATACCGAGGAACCTGAGAAAATAAGCGAAAACGAAATGATGTTTACTGGACCCAATTGATCGCTCTACCGCGCATAAAATGTGTTCTTGCATGTAATTTGATATGATAATTATGATTTAAAAAGGCCAAATTGTAGGTTTAATATAAGAACAAAAGGAGGAGCAGAGAATGTACTTCATGACGATACTGCGTTATGACAGTTCAACTCGTACACTTTTTTTTTTATTCTCCACTCCCTCTTAAAATTCTTTATAATAAAAAGACTTTTACATAAAATGACAAAAAGACAACTATGATAAACTTAATTACATAATTAAATTTTATTATAAAATGAAACTGATTGTATAGTTTTTTCTGTTAACACACCCACATATTACATCTTAAATTATAAGCTATTATTAATTTTAAAATCTATAATAAAACATCAATTTTCACTTGACTATTCTAAATTATGTGAGATGTGTATTTAAAAAATGTGTAGAGAATAAAAAAAAAGGTGTGAATAAAACCACCTATTACGTTATTTTGGATATCATACAGGCCATGTTTAGTAGTTTTATTGTATTGTGCCACATTTGGTAGCTTTTATTGTATTGTATAAGGTGTATTGTATTGTCGTATTTGGTGTCATGTTGTATTGTACAAGGAGTCTAAATATAAAATTTTAAAATTTAGGGTTAAAATGTGACTTTCAAAAATTTTGGGGTCAAAATATAATTTTTTTTAAAATTTTTTGGAATTAAAATATAATTTTAAAAAGTTTTGGGGTTAAAAAATAATTTTATAAAAATTTTAGGATCAAAATGTAGTTTTATAAAAATTAAGGGATGAAAATGTAATTTTTAAAAGATACAAATTTGCATTGTGCCCCTCAATTATAAATTCGGACATGACTCTATATCGGCCCGACTCTGACCCCAGTCGTGCCAAATTTCGACATAAATCATGAATTCGCTATAAAATAATACAATTAATACGCTAAAAATGAGTCATATTTAATAATACGACATAAACTGTATTAATTTATCATATGTATTAGCTTTTATAATATGATAGTCACAATAAATATTATATTATTATATTATTATATAATACGATGTTCTAATACAATCAAACAAACATACGCGTTTTATAAAATATTTTTTCCTTACTTTTCTTATTGCTCTATTTTTTTTTTCCTTTTTTTTTCCCTACTTCTTGGTTAGAAATATTCTAAATTTTTAAGATTTAGTTTGTACTCGTATGGAATTTGATTTAATTTTAAGAACATATGCGTTTTATTATGTTGTGTTTATATGATATTAGTGCATAGGATAAAATTATTAAAATTACCTTTAGAGTATATGGATCTAAATTTGTACTCTTTACTATTAATTAATACCATTTTAATTAATATAGTTATTTGACTAAAAATGATATTAATCAATAATAAATAGTAAAAGTCCACACCTATACACTTTAAGAGGTGTTTGTATGTTTTTTTTCCCATATTTAAAGTAAAAAAACATCAAGGGCCATTGACAGATTGCAGGTTCATTTCGGATTGAGTGCGTTACGGGTTGATTGTGCGTTGTAATTTACAAAAGTCTTGTATTGACGGGTCATATTAGTGTCAACCCATATTAAAACAAGTCGTGTTAGGGTTGAGAATTCTTAACCTGTTCGTGTCACGTAGTCATGTTAAGATTGGGATAATTATGTAAAATTCTCATCTTAGCTCTACACTAATACGACGGTCGACACAAATTGCCAACATGAGCTTTGTATGGATTCACGACACGACGTCTCTCGTGCATCGAATTGTCTCCGTCAATGTGGAGAAAGTACAGCTTAACTTGGAGTGAACGACATTTCTTTTCTATTAAACGACATGTTTTCAAGTCGAGCTTTTCCAAAACTACGGGACTACCCATAAATATTTCCCTTCCGTAACTCTCGTGTCCATAAGAGTTACATTTGTAGAGTTTTATCCCTTAGGCATAGTTCATTTTACCGATTCGAGTTTTTAATTTTAAATTTTTATAACAAAAAATTCTAAAAAAATGTCACATCTAACTTTTTCTGCTACAGTAAAAAACTCTCAGAAAATGTCACATCTCAACTCGAATTGAAAACTCAAATCTGTGAAGTGTACGAAGCCTAAAACTGTTTATAAAGTGTATCCTTCGTTTACATTTGCTATAAATATATACCATCACTATCAGATAGTATTTAATAAGTTCATATAAACTTTTTTTTTTCCTTCTTTCATACGGTCAGTTAAAACAGCAAAATTGATCAAAATAACCTGCAGGAAAAAAAAAAATCTTCAACTAAAACCGGTTTCATCGCCAAAGAGAATTGATTTAGGCTCATCCACTAGTGATCAAGAGGAAATCTCAATCTCCAATAGAGATCATCATGCCACAATAATCAAACGAAAAGCCGGCAATATTTCAACTCTTGTAGACCTCAAAACATTGAAATTTTTTCCAATTAGCCCAACCTCAAAACACAATTAACTATTGCAAAAACCCAACAAAGAGGCAACTAAAATTATCTCATGAAACTTTTACTCATTTTCAAAAGGGAAATACAATAAGACAAATATATATATATATATATATATATATAAGTTTCAATCAGTTAACATGGCCATATTTATTTCACAACTCAAGTCATAATATAAGTTTTATTGCTACAGTATTTACTTTTTTGTTATAGTGTTTTTCTCTCACATACACAACTCAAAATCATAACCACAAATGGGTTGTGAATGAACATATCCATAGTTTTTCTGACTTCTGTATTAGCACTTTAATACATTCTTCATTTCTTGCTTTTTTTTCGTCCTCTTCCTCTTGATTTAATTCCCTTGTCATGTGTAAGATAGAACTAGATACCAAAGACACACAAGCAGGGCAAAAAGAAAAGAAATGGAGATTGAAGAACATAAGTGTGAGGAAGATTGACCCACCCAACTTTTGGCTATGGAAATTGAAAGAGAACAATAATCCTTGAGTTCATCATTAAGGAAAGGAGAGAAAACAGGTACTGCACGTCCTGAAAGATAAACCATGTAGAACCTCTAATCTATTTCATTTTCTGAATGTTTTAAAATCTATGATGGGATGTAGAAACGAAAGATGATAAAACTGAAAATGAGAGACAACCATACAAAGAAAAACATTTTACATTGGTGAAGATCGAGAATAAATAACCAAAGAGAAAAAGAAAGGCTTTCACTTAACGGACAATCTTCCTTACAAGCACAATGTCAAAAAGAATGGTACAAACACATCATAACAAAAAACCTCCTCAATGGAAAATGAAGAGCAGAAAAGAACAAACAATCTACAATGAAACAGCCGTTCTTATCGTGGATCAATTGCACAAATACACCCCACTCTCATACCTGTGGCTAACCTCATAAAAGTCAGTTTTTCCCTCGGTGGCAGGCCGTAGGCAAATCCCAGACAACGATTTAGTCCCTTGTACCGAAAATTTCACATAAGCAACAACCTCCATCTCTTCACCACCATCATTCTCACTAGAATCCACAGGCATTCTCACCCTCAACCTTCCAGGAGACGCCTTCAATGGGATCTCCGAAACATGCCATTTCAATTCTCTCTCGGCCCTATTCAGCACTGCTTTAGGCGAAACCTTCAACAATGAAGGATCGACTGGTAGTTTCAAGACAAACGTCACATCACTCAATGGTGCAGGCAAATCGGGGTTTGATACGTATTGAATCATCACAGAAAGTAAAGTTCCACTGTGACGTTTAATAAGACGAACCCTCAATGGCAATGGTGTAGACCTAGGAAGCAGACTATACTTCAAAATCGGCAAAGGCTCCTCAGAAGCCGCGGTCCTAACGTGGAACAATCCATTGCCAAGACTACTAATCCGAGAACTCTGCATAACAAATCTCTTAACCGGACTTGTGCCCTCAACCCGGAATGAGAACTCTGTTTCCTTATTATCACCAGAAGATTTGACCGGCAAAGTTTTCAAATAGACAGTCCCCATTAATCCTACTCTAGCAAGCAATGATTCTCTAAACTCGGCACTAATCTGTTCCGAAATGTACATCTCAGGTCCTTTCATTTCAGTTGATTTCACAAGGTCATCAAGTGCATTACCTGAAGCCCCGCTCGCGGGGGCAGCATCTGCTTTTGAAGCTGCGTCGCTTTGCCCGGTCTGCAGCAATTCAAGCCCTCCGAGACCCTGCAGTTTCGCAACTTTTGTCGATCCAACAAACTCTGAGGGGTCTAAACCGCCACCCCAAGCCTCGCTGAAGCCCTCAAAAGTGTCTCCCAGAGAAGCCTGCTCATTCCCGAACTCAATTCCACCGTACTCTCCTTCAAACCCTTCGACGGCAATGTGCGTTGACTGTGTCGCCTCCGCGGGCGGCAGCGTCGTCACCTCGAGAGTCGCCAACGCCTTGGTCAAATCCGTGGCGGAAGGATCTCTCGTCTTCTTGAACCCACTCACCAGCTCCTCCGGCTGGTTAATCTTCTCGCTCGCCGCGAAAGGGTCCTTCTCCCCCTCGCTCTCCTCCACCTTTTCCTCCTGATCCAGCTGCTCGCTCTGCACAACGGGAGCGAGCGTCGCGGCAACCTCATCCCCCGCCGCAATAGTCTCCGCCGGCAATTCAAACACTGCCATTGAAAACACCTCGATATTCGCAAGGTTTTCGACAGAATTCCCCTCCACATTGCTCCAACTATCGGCGCCGCGGATCTTGTTCTCGGTGTCGAGCGCCGAGTGCACCATCTTCGCAATGCTGTCGCCGTGCATCGACCCGAGCATCGCGGCAAGGCGGATATTGCTAACTCCCCTAAGAACGATGTCCAACGCCATATAGATCTCCGCGTACTTCCTCCCGAGCTTCTCCGGCGTCACATCGACGCCGCGGCAAGCGGCGACGACGACGCTGACGGCCTGATTGACGACGTGGATGCATTCGAACACATTGATCGAGTTGTCGTGATCGGCGGTGGTGATTCCGAGAACGTAGATCGAGTTCACAAGGCGATAAACGACTCGATACCGGCTTTCGACGCCGACGATTACCTGGCCGCTGGAGGCCGCCAAGGGATCGTCGCCGATGGAATCGACGGCGGGATCGGAATCGGAGGGGTGGTCGTGGCGGTGGTGGTGGCTGTGTTTGGCGGCAGCGAAGGCGTGGCGAGTCTGGCGGAAGGCGGAGAGGGCGACGAGGGCGCGGGCGGGAGGGAACCACTCGCGAGTCTGGAGGAGGATGTCGGAGCCATTGGAGGGTTGAAGAGAGAGGGCTAAGCACGACATGGCTAGGGTTTCGTGATCAAATTCTGAAATTCAGAGCTGAAAATGGAGATCTGGAATTCAGTTCCCCTAGGGTTTCGATTTGGGATCGGAATCTGGAGATCGGAATCGTTCTCTCATGACATGGTTTCTGGTGGATCTTTTGAATGGGGTTTTTAGATCTAAATCACTGTTGATTTCTGTTTAGAGAGAAAGAGAATCACTGTTGATTTCTGTAGAGAGAGAGAGAGAGAGAGGGAGAGAGAGGGAGAGAATTCGTGGGGGACTCGGCGAACTCGGTGTGCAGACTCAGTTGAGCGTATTGATGAAAGAAGAAGAAAGGCCCCGGAGGGAATTATGGGCTCAATTTCAAGTTTAAGAAGCCTCTGGGTCTCAGTGAGTCAGATCCAGCCCATATTCATAAACAGAAACGGGCATAACCTAAGGTTCGTTGTAGTGGAAAAATTATGATAGTAACGAGAATAATAATAATAATAGAATGAAAAAGAAAATTAATTTATTTATTTAGTTGTAATTTTAAGAATATTATGGAATGTATTATGAATATTTTCATGTAGATAAAATTATCTTTATGTTACATATAACACTAATATTTTATATATTAGTATAATTAATATAATATAGAAAAGGTAACATAATATAATAAATTATTATTATTATATAAATATGATATATAATATAATAATATTATTAAAATGGTTAATATAGTTATAATAGTATAAAACATATTATAAAATTATATAATATACATTAATATTTCAGTTATAATGTAATTAAAAATTATAATTATATTATATTATACTATACTATAATATATATAACTACAATATAATATATTATTATTATATTTAATATAATACCATAAAACCATTACTGTATAATATATTATATAATTATGATATAGA